ATTCTATAATAGAATAAAATCTTCGTAAAAAAAAAAAAAAATATAATAGAATAAAATAGCTATAGGTGGACAGCTAGCCCAGGCACAAGACCAACCATCTTCTGTTTTATAAGGATTATTATTATGGTATGTAAGCTTTTCTCCGTGTCCAGTTTTGTTCACGTACAATTCACTTTCGGGTTATTCGATTTATAATCCGATCGATCGAGTTGTCAAAATTCGAGCTAAAAATATATGCACGCCCTCTATGTTGATCGAATTGAAAATCTTGTTTTATCAAATGACATGACTCGAACACATCAAGCGTGTCGTACGAAAGTCGGTAAGCCGGATATGCGACTCGTGGTCTACAAATTTACCGAAACAACCCTGTAAACCGGGTAAGAGAAAAAAACAAAACAGGATTGGAGAAGAAGGAGATGGATTATCCAGAAACGTGAGCCAGTGAGGATGGGCTGGGGTCCCTTTTAAGGAAATGGAAAAGAAAGATATGACAGCCCCAACCCCAAAGGTAGGGAAATGACGAGTAACTCAATATTTATACTCGATTTGTATCAAATGTGGGTCACGTAGATTATATAAGGGCGCTAGTACGGGTTGGAATTAGTCTTATACATTATTTTAAAAAATATTTTTTTTAATTATAAAACAATGAGTAGTAGAGATAATAAATAGTTGAATTAACTCCAATTAGTTGAAACATGAAGGACTACACTTATCTAAACTATCATTGGGTGAATATATGATTTAAAACAAGTAAGGAACGGGAAGTGACGGGATAGTACGAAAGTGATACCCATGCTCCGCTTCATGCTACTGCGTATCAAGTAATGTCCATCCCAACACGAATCAGGTCGGGTAATACAAGACGGAGCCGGTTCGAATTGCAACCACTAAAGGTAGGTAGGTAGGTCAAGATTTTATTGTATTTGCACCTCCATCTCTCTCTAGTCTCTACCAATAATACCATACATATATATACTACTACTAGCCTACTAGCAACAGCCTGTTTTCTTGATCTCGTCGTGTGTTGATAGTTTCAGATACCTAAGCACATTATGATTTACCAAAAACAAAGATTATACGTATACCTAATTAGCACATGACTTCCACGTGCTTTTCTTACCAAATTTCCCAGCCCCATCGATGGAGGATGCATAATTGATTCACTTTGGTTGATGCAAGAAATATGTTCAAAACGTTTTTTTTAGAAACTTTCAGTGTGTAAATGGTAAAATGGAAATCACCGGTTAATAAGATTGTAATCAGGATGGGTGTGAGACGTCGAAAATATCGCATAACCTAAAGCGGCGTAGATGGAGTATATTGTCTTTGATTCAACTCTAGTGAACCATAGCAAGTTTTGGATTGTTTTGTTCTTTCATTTTTTTTTTTAATAAATATCCGTGTTTATAATACTATATTATATCAATTCTATTACGCCATGAACCATACAACCTAACCAGTCTTGATATCCAATAGTACTGAGTTCAGAATTCTTAGTAAAATCTCGAGGTAATTAGTTAATAATTAGCAGAAAAACTTAAATAAAACATATATTCTCACACAGAGACATTTGTTTGCTTTTGGCGCAAGAACAAATGCGGCAAGATACGTTTAGTTTTTGTACATATACAATATACGGTTGATACCATACCCAACCAAACCATCATCTCTATATGTCCATTTCCACAATTAATAACTCTCATTTTCTACTTGGCTCGATGCAAAAGAAAAACCTCTCCTTTTCTCTCCTTTTCGACAACAACCTCTTTCCCATCCCATGATCTCCCCCTCTACCATCCACTTGAATTTCATGATGAGCGAGAAAGAGAGAGATAGATAGATAGATAGATAGATAGAGAGAGACCTTCTCCTCCCTCCATAACCATAACCATGTGTGGTGGTGGGTAACAACAATGTGCTAGCTAGGCCAATTGACATGGGTTAGGGATTGGAAAGGTTGATTCACTCTTTTTTTCTTCATGTTTTTGTTTTTGGGTTCTTAATGATCCATCTATCTCTCTCTCTCTCTCTCTTTCCCTTTCTTTCCCTCCCATTAGTTGTTATACTTTCAAGCCTTCGAATAGCTTTCAAGGTGGGTGCAACTCATCGTCTCAGCATGCTAATGCACTAAATGTTATGTACCAACTAACTTCATTTCTGAAAATTCGCCACGCAAAATCGACATTTGTTTTTAGTGATTCGTCATACGATCAGAATATAAGCATCGATAATGTATTCTTGGTTGTATGAGTTCGTTTGAATGCCTCAAAATATACGATAACAAGATGTATCTAACAACATATTAATAATATAGTATATACGATTACAAACAGTCTATTTGAATAGAAACCTAAACACATACCTTCAAGTAATGGATTGCAAAACTATATAAAAAAAAACAAAGTGAAGTGGAAGGTGAACCTAAGCCCATAAATTAACTATAACCACAACCTTCATTCATTCATATCTCCTAGCTTCTCCCTTCCCTTTTCATTATTATGTAGTCATCTATCTAACTCCACCCCATCCCTTTTCTCTCTCCATCCCAATCTAAAGCCCAACCTCCAACCCATCTAGAAGCCCTCTCTTTCATGCATGATGGTGCAATATAGCACCAATAGAAGAATAAAGATTAATAAAAGAGCAACAACTACCATATACACAAATTCTATGCACAGACAAAATAACATGTAACCATCCTTTTGTTTTTACAAAATTTCTTTTCTTTTTTCTTTCCCTTTTTCCATTGGCATTTTCCCCACATCTCAACTAACTTTACCATAAATACACCACCACCCTCCCCAAAATTTTCAAACCCAACTAATTAAGTATGATTTAACCCTTCATTATCATTAATGTTATTATGTTAAACCTTAACCCAGCACCAACAATCCTCAATCAACTTGAGTACCCTTTTGAACACTTGAATACAAACAAAAGGGAGAAGGGGGGAATTGAAGAGAACCCTAGCACAGAAATGACACCCTGAATTCTCTTCTCTGTCACCAAATACATGTACTTTTGTTATTCATGAAGATGGCAAAGACTGGACAAATTGGATCACTACAAGAGACAAATGCGAGTGGATTGATTTTGTTTAGTTAAGAAATGTCTCGTCAAGAGGGAGGATCATTTTACCATTATGTCGTGTGGTTGTACGGACATTATCGTAGTAGGAGTAAGATATCTTATTCGAATCTCATCGTCGTCGTTGTAAGGAATACCGCTTATAACAAGTATCAGAATTGCTTTCATAAAGGGAGAAGAGGAGGAGAAATTTGGGGGATAGAACCATGATCAGGTTTGATCAACTTTGATTCCTCTGTTGGGATCATGGTTTAGGGGGAAAGAAATTATAAATTAGGGGCTAACTAAGTAAAATAATAATGGTAATGGGATCCCAAAATGAGAAGGTGAAAAAGGGCCCAGATTGGTTGGTTGGTTGGAGGCTTGGAGCAGATTGACCATGGTGAGTCAGTGAGTGAGTTTTTGTTTACCTAAACACAGGTCACAGAGTATTTGGTTTTGTTTTTGTTCTTCTCTAACTATAGGAGAGAACTCCAGTTATAAAGCTAACCAAAGTATAGTAGATAGCCACCACAGTTACAACTGGTAGCTAGCAAGTAGCAGAATTGCTTGATTGGAAAGAGAGGTTAGAATATACTCGAACTTTGTGAGAAGAGTGGATCTTTTGACATAACTGATTGATTGTTGGGATAATTTGGTCAATGTGAGAGAATGTTCTCGTCTCATCATCCAATTGACCATCTACTTAGCTCAGCTCCCTCCACAAAACAAGAAGCAGAACTACGATTAGGAAATGAAAAGGTTTTGCTAAAAAAAATGCCCTCGGTTTGGGTGGGACTAATTATAACCAAAGTAGGTGGGGAAAATTCATCTGCACCATTCCGGACAATCATATATAAAGTCATTGATATAATATGGAATTTTTCTTACATTGTTGATTTTAATTTTAAGTTTGTTTTCAAACACATTTATATAAGTGATGAAAAATGACATTTGGGTATTAGAGATAATTAGATTACTTGAAGCGTACGAATGACCGAAGTGTTGAAGCGAGTGAGTCTAAATCATAGTTGTAGCACATATTCAAATGAGTTCAATGTGGAGACTTAAAGTACCAAAACTGCACCAAACTCATTATCCTCTTTGCAAAATTCGGTAAAAACCCACCCAAACTAATATTTATTAGATTTTTCTCGATCTAATGGATTCATAAAAATAATAGAGATTAAGTCTACTAGGGACCAATTTGGTAAGATTTTTTCCATGTACATTTTTTTTTTCTGATTCTAAAGAGGTGCCATCACAGATATCAGACGATTTTTTCGAATGACAATTTTTCGTGGATTTTGAAGGCTACGGATCAAGGATCCGTCTGTAGGCTAATCTACACCGATGATGAAGTCTATCAATCGCTGATTCGGGCAGATTTATTTCATATGGCAATTTCATAATTTTTTGGGCAATTTTTTCGACAACTATTTTCCTTTGTTTTTTAAGGCAACAAATAACAGATTCGGCCTAAGACCATTCTTCAACTATGATAAGTCTATTAAGCACCAATTTGTGACGAATTTTCCAGGATCATTTTTGGCATATTACAAAGGGGTACCATAACAGATTTCAGGCGATTTTTTCGAAAGGTCATTTTCTTTGGACTTTGAAGGTTGCGGATCACTGATTCGTCCTTGGGCTAATCTCCACCGACGATGAAGTCTATCAATAATTGATTTGGACAAATTTATTCCGGAAGACAATTTCATAATTTTTGTACGATTTTTTCGAAAATTATTCATTCCTATGTTTCATTGTCAGTTTTTTAACTTTTGACTTTGTTGTTGTTGTTTTTTTTTTTAACTGGGATGATTAATAACGTGATAGCTGGAATGAACTAGCTTTACACAAACAAACACCTTCCACATCCAATCCATTTCTCCTTCCTTACCTACGTGATAACTGGGCTAATCTCCACCCCCTCCAAATTAGTTAACAAATTTTGCCCTAATCCACTTTTTTAATAATAATTTCTCTCAAATCCTCCTGATATATTTTTTTTTTTGTCATCAATACTATTTATCTTTAATCCAATAAAAAAAATAGAGATTAGGGTAAAGGCAGAGTAGCACCCACCCTCCACTCTCCTACCTGTCTCACCAACTCGCATCTAGAAGCTTTTTTTCCCCCCACCACTTATTCTTCTCCTTCTCCTTTCTCTCCAAGCAAAAAAAGAGTCAAAAACTCAGAAGCCTATAAATCCACATTTCCTCCAAGTCCTTTCAAAAGCCGGCTTCTCCTTCTTCTTCTTCTTCTTCTTCTTCTTCTTCTACTTAAAGTTAAGCTGGATTAAACTTAAGTAAAAGCCACCAAAACCAGAAGCTGCGATTTGCAGGAAAAGTGGAGTGAGAAAAAAAAATGGGGAGGTCGCCGTGCTGCGAGAAAGCGCACACAAACAAGGGCGCCTGGACGAAAGAGGAAGACGACCGCCTCGTCGCCTACATCAAATCCCACGGCGAGGGATGCTGGCGCTCTCTGCCCAAATCCGCCGGGCTCCTCCGCTGCGGCAAGAGCTGCCGCCTCCGCTGGATCAACTACCTCCGCCCCGACCTCAAGCGCGGCAACTTCTCCGACGACGAGGACGAGCTCATCATCAAGCTCCACTCCCTCCTCGGCAACAAGTCAGTCTCCCTTCCCCGTCCCCCTACAATTGATTGGAGAAAAAAAAAAGAGAGAGAAATCTCGCCATCAATTTTTTTCTTCTTCTAGGGATTTATCAAATTTTTTTTTTTTTTTGTCTTCAGATGGTCGCTGATTGCGGGAAGATTACCCGGGAGGACGGATAACGAGATTAAGAACTACTGGAACACTCACATCCGGCGGAAGCTGCTCAATCGCGGGATAGATCCGACGACACACCGCCCGCTCTCCGAATCCGCCGCACCCGCCGCGGCGGCGGCGACAGCGGCCACCACTTCGTCGACGACGACGATTTCATTCGCCGCGGCGGCGAGCAGTAGGGATCAGGAAGACTGTAAAAACGACGTCAAGAGGCTATCTACGCCGCCGCCGCCGCCGGCGGCTGCGGCGGCGGTGAAGAAGGAGGAGGAGGTGGAGGAGAAGTGTCCGGATTTGAATCTGGAGCTGAGAATAAGCCCGCCGTACCAAGAACAGTTCTATAGAGATACGACGCCGTCTGGCAAGGAGGAGCAGCAGTGTTTCGATTGTAGCTTGGGGTTGGAGAGGAGCAAGGATTGCAGCAGTTGCAGGAGCAGGAGAAGACCGTTGATGGTGGTGAGTAGTATCAGTAGTGGTGGTGGGCCTGGGCCGAACGGGCCGGCTGCTGGGTTCGATTTCTTGGGTTTGAAAAGTGGGGTTTTGGACTACAGAAGCTTGGAGATGAAGTAGTCGTGTGGTTAAAAATTCATTAATTACCCCTCCCCAGGTAAAAAAAAAAAGTAAAAAACTTGGTAGCTGAGTGAATCTTCTTCTCTCTGTCTCTGTTGGGTGATTATGTTAAAAATTAGATTAACCTACTCGATTAAGTAGTTTTTTATTTTTACCTTTTACGGTATGGCAATTTGTATGATGATATATAATATTTCGTATGTATTTATATAGATATACATGGATACAGATTTTGTTTCTCATTGTAATTTTTAATTTTCCCCACGGTACGGTAATATTCCTCCTTATTTGCCACCTAACAAGCATATATTAGTGGATAAAAAAAGTTATACTTTAGAATATTTTTCATCAAAGCATCATTTTATTGAAACCAAGGATATTAATTATGGAGTTGTAACATCATCAATATCACTCAATTAAGATATTGTTCTTGATGACTTGATCTAAAGAGATTTATAACATGAAAGTTTCGTAACGAAATACTAGTACATTATATCTTAAGTTAAAGATGTATATATATATATATCGATATGTTGTAATTATACAAATTAATGTATGCAAAAGTGAATTTAAGTTTTCTATATTTGCAATCATGAGCACTTCTACTATGCTATAAAGTATTGGTGCTTTAATGTACAACTTAAAGGTGTACAATAACGTTAAATGTATAAATTCAGGTTGTACCATAAAACAATATGTATAATTATGTTATGGTACAACTTCACGTGAAGTTGTACCATCACATAAAGCTACAAGTTCAAGTTGTACCATAAAAGAATTTGTAATCTAAAGTTGTATACCATCACATTAAATGTACAATTTCAAGTTGTACCATAAAAGCAAAAACCTATACTATCAATACTATATAGCATTGTAAAATTACTCTTGCAATCATAACTATCCACGACCAAAAAATCAACATAACTTTTTTAACCCCAAGATGCAAGATAGAATAAACGGTAAATTTTAGGACGGACACTTTACTCTTTGGTCCTTTCCCTCCTTTGCCCCATCCCCCACTTTCCCAATAAGGTATGAACAAAGGAAGCCGAAATGTTATTACTTTCACTAGTTCTTTTTGCTTGTGGGAAACGGATAAGTAGTGAGAGGAGGAGGAGGAAGGTGGGGGAAGGGGAAAGTGGTGGGTAACCCATCTCTTCATCTAAACAAGGAAGAGATATATATACCAATATATCAAATAAAAAAAAAGGAAGTTTTGGATCCAAATCTACTCATTAGAAAAGAGTTTTGAGAGATCATCGACTGTATCGAATCCGTTTGACAATTTTGGACGTTGGATGGTTGTCGCGTTCAGCTAAATTTCATGATTAACAATACCAATTTTTGATTACACGAGAGGGAGTCATCATTACGACCAACATGATAATATTGTACATTAGTTTCGAAGTGTCTCATTCCACTGGATGGTTTAGACTTTCTTTCGATGCTTATTAAAAAAAATACAAACAAAATTTACTCGATATATTGACTAATAGAGCCTTCATACATGTCTGCAACCACTGGTTTTCATTCGGTTCGAAAAAACAGACTTTGATATTTGTTACTAACTTTTGTATAATAATCGGTGCGATAAAAATACACTTATTTTATTTTTTATTATTTATTATTCATGGTCTTGTTTGTTATATGAAAGAAAAGAAAAAGTTTTGAGCGAAGGAACTAACAACAAGTGGCCATAATAGTACCAAAATGGATGGATCCGATCCCCACTGCTGCTGTTGCTGCCCATTCCTCCTTCTACCAACCTATATTATTGATCATTGTTTTTGCCCATCCATCAATGATCCAACCAACCAACCAACCAACTCAACCCAATCCATTCCCTCTTCTATTCTATGTATGAATGTTCTTTATTAATTTTGTTTTTTTTTTTAATATGGGGGCCGGCGCCTACCCAGTGCCGGCAGGTCAAGGAAGTTGGTGACTCGATGACAGGGGAGTCGGCGATCGAATCCTGTCACTGAACGGCGGCCGTAACTCTAACAGTCTTATATTGTTATTTATTTCTCGAAAAAACAATACAATGAATGTTAGTTGCAAATACTCAATAATATAGATTAATAAAACGGCAATCATGAAACTCGTTTTGTTTTATCTGAACTGTTAGTTAAAAAAAAAACTCAATTCAAATTTATAACCCATGCATATATAAACTTCTACGTTCTAATTAACATGAAGAATCTGTAATGAGGTAATTAGCGAGATCAGTAATTCAGTATTATATCATTGCTATAGTCTTTGAATGGTGACCCCAATTACAGTAGTTAGTTAATCAACTGATTAGTGATTACCACGACGTAATTATCTAACCCCTCTGATCAATCTACTGCATGCTTTCTCGAGGACACGTATAGTAACCTAATTAACGAAACATAAACCCCTTACTTAATCCACTATTATATTTGATTCCGTTCCGTTTCCATGACTTCCAACTTCATACCAACCGCTGGCTTTGATTATAATCAAGTTTTGCTCTTAATTACTGTACTTTTATTAAATCTCATCAGCACCACGAACCTTAATCTCCGATATTATGGTTTCAGAAATGTTGGGTTGCTTTAGCATGTGTATCTAACGAGGGAAAACGTAACGATGGGTACACAATGTATTATTTTTTTAATCTAGAGAGAGAGAGAATTAATAAAGAACAGAAACTGAAGTTGCTGTTATGCTGTCCAACGTTTTGACTTGATGGGGCCGAAATGGTAAGATTAGAATACTGCTAATTATGGATTAGTTAGCGGGGGGAAAAAGAATTAGGGTTTCTAGAAGGGAAGTAGGTAGAGGGGGAGAAGTTGTTTAATGGAATAATTAATCAAGGCGATTAAGCACAGCGCCCGCCGATGATGTTGATATTAAGAAATAAAATATATAGTGATGATGGGTTTACGTCGTGTTTATCAGCCGTTAATTAATGTTAAATTGTTAATCACCCGTTAGTCGCTCGCTAAAACCAAATTAGTCTTCTAATTCTAGTCACGCCCACCTTCCACTTTTGCTTACAGAAAAAAGTGAGGTGTGGTGTGTGAGGCGGAGCTACTCCTACTCTCCCAACTTCCTCTCTATCTCTCTCTCTATATATATACACTCTACTTGACTAGTAATCTTATTATTGTTTAGTGATGCTAGTATTAGCTAGCTTTAAACTAAGTGATTAATTTATCTTGCCCGATTAATTATTTTGGTTTCTTTTATTTTGTGTATAAGTTTTCTAGGTAAGAAGATGTATAACGGATTGATTTAGTGAGTGTTGTAAGTATCCGTTCTACGAGCACCACATTCAGCGATGACATCATCAAGTAATTTTTGAGGTGCCGATCGGCCTATGACCCCAGGTCACTTGAGGTCGAGGAAGGACGACGCACTCTACAATCCTCAGAAACTTAATTTATAATTGAGAAGTCCGAAGCAACTACAATCGTGCGTACTTAACTGAACCCGATTTGGCTACTGAGTGTCATAAGTCAACATTAGGAGGATAATATTTTGGTTAAGGCGGGTGTTAGAACGGATCGAGAAATTAACAATGCAAAGAAGTAAGCAACACACAAATTTACGTAATTCACTAACACGATGTGTTTTAGCTAATCTACATGCAGTGGCGGAGCCAGCATTTCAAACCACCCCTGTCCTCTTTTCATAATATAAATATATAAATATTTAATTAAAAATTATTTAATAAATTATAATTAAAATTAGCTATATATGCATAATTCATTCATAGATTAAAAAAACCGACTATACAATCATTGTTTTTTATAAACAACCGCGAAGAGATTTCATATTGTGAAAGAAACGCAAAAACATTCGTCGTCTACACTATTAAATAAGTCTTTTTCAATGTATCTCACTAAATTAGCATTAGCAAATTGGTTGCCAAATCGACTTGGAAACTTGTTCTTAATATAACTCAAAGCTGAAAAATGCTCTTTTTACATTTGCAGTTGTAATTCGTAGAAAGTAGGAAAAAAACTAGTGGAATTGCCGCCGTCGCTAGACAATTTTAGGGTTGTTGGGAAAAATCGAATAGGCATAAGGAGAAAAGAGTCCGATTAGGTCTTTATTGCAATTAGAATTCATTTATAGTATAATAAATTAATTTTTATGTCAATTTATGAATAAGTAATGAGTTGTGCTGTAGTGACAGAAATACTCTAATACTATCTATAGATGTTGTTTTCCATCACCAATATACATATATATGACATATTTTTATTCTTCCAAAATTTACTCCTGTCCCGGGATAAGGCCCAATGGGCCTCCCTCCGCCTATATCTACATGCAAGAGAAACCGATTTCACTATACTTAATAAGATACATGTTAGAACAAGATTGTCGTGACTTCCAATCGGCAATAGATAGATGATCAAACTTATAGTTGTAACAATATTAGGGGGAGTGTATTCTGAAGTCTGAACAAAATGAAGGTGAAAGTTGAAGTCATTGCACGTTTGTGTATGGAGTCAAAAGAAAAGACATTTTGCAGGAAGTCCTCAGGATTTCTTTCTTTCTTTCCGGTCAAAGTTTGGGCTGTCGTTTGCTTTTCCCCCATTTGAATGAACTGAATAATTATTGATTAGTTTTAATCTAATGCACAATCACGTCATCAAATTTGTTGAATTAAGATGGTTGATTTCTGCGGGCTTATCAACATTTGGCACATAGCAAAGCCTTGATATTCCTCTGGTCAAGCCGCTTTTAGGTCCCATGCACTTGGGCCACTTTTTCACTACCCATTTGGCTCTCTCTTCATGAACCAAGACGACACACATATAAAAACAATACCCATTTTCGAGCCTTTTTATTTTTGTGATTTGCTAGCATGTAGCATCTCTCTTTAATATGGATAGAATTACGGTTCAAAATCCCGAGCTACAAAGCTCATTTCTTGTCATCTTTAATGAATCATATAGGGTGACGTGATTCATATCAACGATGATAAGATATGGGATTTTATAAATTTACGGGAGAAAAAGCGATGAGTTCAGGCCACTTTAATCTAGCATCTTAATCATTTTTACCAAGAATTATGGGAGGACAAATTAAAATTCCGAGCAAATAAGAACACAACAAATGACTAATATTCCAATATAGACAACCTTTGTCGCTTATTGCAACCATTCCTCTTTTGATGTAATCATAAATAAAAAAATTATTTACTTTTTTTCTTTCAAATGTGTTAGGTAGAGACTTTATTAGAAGCTTCTATTGGATTTCAATTCTTATGTTTGTATTATTATCACCATAGATATATACTGTTGTTATTCCTATCTCGTTGTCACTCGCTTGCTCTCCAAGAAAATTACAACACAAGGAAGGCTGCCCTAGCTAGCGCACTATGGGGAGTGAAGCAATAATTACTTGTTATGCCTCAAAATTCTACCAACTTCACATCACATGCAATAATATGACCTTTTGGGAAGAGGGGGAAATATACAAAGTTTGATCTTTCCACCCCATATAATCAAATCTCTAAAATGATGAT